CATTGACGAATAAAGTTCTTTGGTTTAAACAACACTGCTATTACTTTTATAAAAAGTTACTTGGGAGGTCATCGCCAGAGGGTTACGTTGGGATCAGTGGTGTCTGACTTTCAACCAATTTTAAGGGGAGTTCCTCATTTTAGGACCTTTGTTGTTCTCCATTTACATGACATACTTATTTACTGAGCTTAGCCTTAAATTGTGTGACTTTCTATGGGGAGATGCGGACGTTATATCTCTCTGGCTCTAAGATACAGATACAGAACTTACAAAATGCCCGCCTGCGATACAGCCCTAATCAGTCCGGAGATGCAGCTAGTTAAGGCCACATTTCACTAGTTGAAAGGCCGATTCATCACAAAAGAGTGGTGTTTTTCCTCACACGCTTGGACTGCCACATGTGAATACAATTTTCTTCTCATCTTTCAAATCTATTTTGGAATTTGAATTAATTGGGGATTATTAAAAATAAGGAAAACGCCAAATAACTTCCAATATCCATATTGATAAGGTACTGTTAAAGAAAATACCATTTTTCAGTTTCTTTATATTAACAATATCCAGATTTTATTGCTATAATTTTTTAACACATCTCTAACAAGCAAAATATTTATATAATAACTTATATTTTATCTACGGATGATAAATTACATCTTGAACTTAGAATGCCTTTTTTGGTAACTGCGCATTATCCGAATAAGTAACCAAAACCAACTAAATGCAATTTATACTCTACCAAAAACATTTAACACACTACTAATTAACGCAATAGGTTTTAATACCCAATAAATATATTTTTATTCACTTCTTTACAATAAGCAAGTATGCAACACACAAATAACAATATTAAAATTATTTTAAATAAAAAAATAATCTCAAAATCAGATGATATTCCGAGTGTTTTGTTCTATATAAATGTCATAGCTTTATATATGGTACAGATGTTTTGTGGTAATCGATCAATCACGTTTTTAAACATTTCAATATACTGTGTATAAAAAGACGTATTGCTGAATCCATCATTTTATTTTTATTTATTTTTTTTGCTTTTAAGCCCTTTGCCATTATTTTGTAGGCCCTCAAGACAAAGTTTCGAAAATCTTTTCATAAATCATAAATTATTTCCAATAACCATTGTTGAACTGCTTCTACAGAGTTATCTCATACCTAAGAATTCTTTTAAACGTTTAAATTTACATATTAAAATAAGTGTTTGTAGATGATTATCTCGAAATCTCACTTAACCTGTATCCCTAAGGTTAACCAAGAAGCAGCAATATAAAACGTTGCTATAACTAACCATAATATAAATAAATTAACTTCTTTTAAATTTTTGCACATATTGAGCAGCTTTTATAACAATTGAAGGGCTAGTTCGATTACAAAAAATAATATAACTCAAGTAATTGGAATATAAAGTAAAGCAGTTTGAATTTATTTACTTTGGCGTATATTTTGTAAACCTGGGAACGCCCGATTTCGTTGTTTGTAAATACACCCCTGCGCGACGGTATCCGTTGACATTTTGTCGAAACAAAAACGTCATCGATCGTTATCGACCGACGCGTGACGGAAGAATCACAGCCGCTTGGTTTCTTCGACGTTCGCGTCAGCGGTGTTGGGCGACCCACCAACTTTCACTTTCTTTTTACTTTATCGCGAATTTGTGCCACGTTATTGCTCACCGCGGAAGGTTTGAACGTCGAGCGCAGCGGCGTAGCTCGCGGGTAAACGGAATATGCCGCTTCGTTGCGAATATACCAGTTTCCGTAGATTAAAAAAAAAGTTTGGATCAGGCGGATGCGCTGGTATTAATAAACAGTATCGAAATTATGATGCATCCTATTCAAAAAATAAATATAATACTTAATACAAATACATAATAAAAATAAATAAAACGCAAAAAAAATGCATCAAATATTATAACTATGTAATATGTAATACTAAGGCTTTATAAATTAAGAGGTTGCGAGGTCACGACATAAATGAAAAATAAATCAAAAAGGTGCAACGACAAAGTTTCCTTTTTGATCGTATGTCCGCGCACATAACGAACATGAAAATTGATTGGATTTGAATTATTCGATCAGACATAATAAAGATAAAAAAAACTTAACCAAAAAGAGTGAAACGGTTCAAAGTACTGTACAGACTAAGGAGTAGAGATATAAAAATGGAAATAAACATAATGCATATAACCGAAACAATAAAAGTGGGCTGAAATCGGATTTTATCAGTGCCACGGAAGACCGTCAAACAGATGGGTATCGTAACAGGCAAAGCGCCTAAAACCTAAAATGAGGAAGAACAATATCATAACTCAACTTTCGAAGTACCTTTGTGGATGTTAATAAGCAATGTAAAAATTGGTGTTTTGTTTTAAAGTTTGGCGGTTTTTGCAGTTTTCATCGGGAGTTTATTCTGACAATACCAGCTGGTACAAACGCGTGTAGTTTTTGACTCAATTTCCCGTACAATATAGAACATCCGCAGGCACAACGAAAGCGTGTTTTATTGGTCATTTTTATAAGAGGAAGGTGACTTTAACCTGCTAAATTTGGATAATAATAAGTCCCACAGGAAGCAACAGAAGTCGAGATAAAAGCGTTTATTCCAAAACTGCTTTTACTAGAAAAATTAACAAACTTCCAAACAAAAGTGACCGCAACGCTACGCCACTGTCCACGCGGAATCGAAAGCGGCCGCGCGGAACCCGAACCAAAAAACGTTAATGTTGTTAAACATTTCAGATGTAATTCGCGGCTCTCGTGATGACTTATCGAAAACCCCCCCGCGAGCACAAACTACAAACCACAATGGACTTCGTATTCAGCCCATATTCGTTTCATTTCGACGGACAAATTGACTGGGTATTGTTCGGCCTATTTGCGAACGAACCTTTCCAATCAATGGCGTTATATTCGAGTAGTTATCCAAGCAACATTAAAATTTAATTTTTTTAAGAATATTTCTCATCAGTCAAATTAAGTTTTTTTTTTGAGACCTTGCAAATCAGAGAATAGGATGACTATCGTAACAGGCAAAGTGCCTAAAACCTGAATTGACGAAGAAGAATATCATAACCCAATTTTCGGGGAATGTGGGGAACCATTGCACATGGCGGACGTTGCTCCTGCCCGGTTCCAAAATATTTATAGAAATCGGTCGAAATTAGTGTCGTTTAAAGAAAATATTGTTACGTATAGTCGTTATCTGACGTGATAGAGACGTAGTGCCTATAACTTTGGGAAATAGTGTTCGTCTTACGTGGATGTACACGGATTTGTGATGTGTAATTCCATCAGGTGTATGTAAATACGGTTTCCGAATGTCCTATATTCACGCTGGTAACCAGGCCGGATGGGATCGGATATCCCGTATTAGATGATTGCTGGAGCCGTTTGAAGAATCGGTCGTCATTTTATGACAATTTATTTAGAAGTTTCCGTTTTTGTATACGTAAAAAACAAAAACCTAGAGGATGATGGATTGGTCCAGACCCTTCTCTTAAGAAGGCATTCTGTAGGATATCTGAATAATGTGAAAAATTGTGTAAGCTGGCCGAATGACCTTATGCAGTCGTGGCCATTAGGAGTAAAGAAGAAAGAAGAAACCCAATTTTCGAAGTGCCTTCGTTCTGCGGATTTAGAGTTATTTTTTCCTCGACATCGCAAACTAAAAGGCTCACAAAATGTTTTATTTAAAAGTTTGGCGTACTGTGATTAAAATCAATGAAAAATAGATTTCCTACATAGTTGGATTTTCATCGGTTCCTTAAGTTGGTTTTAAAGAAGGATTTATTAAGGAGGCCAATTTATAACTTGAAAGTGAAATAAAAAAAAAATATCACGACAATATGAACGGGCAAAATTTTGAAAATTATGCTCGTGGGTGGTGATCGACGATGCAAGTTATTAGATGATATTCCACAAAAATTATGGCTACAACAAAAGAACATTGACTTCTCAGAGAAAGTTACAAAGGATGAAATGTGGAGCATTGTAGAAAAAAAATTCTACCTGAAGGAATATGTGAAACCTTTAGGCCACAAAATATTAATTACTTATAACTAATTACTCCATTGTCGGTTTAACGCTATAGACACCATTGGAAATTTTGGCAATGTGTGAAATGACTCAGAAACAAAGCAGAAAAACAAGCAGATAGATACAGACCTATGCAGATGTAATTTACAGAACTGGAAAAAAAGAAACATTATAATAATAATAATAATAAAAGATGCCTGGCGCAGTCTAGTTGAACCTGTGCGTGGCACAATAGCACACAACAAAATTTAAAAAAAAAATTGGTAATAACTTCCTATTCCAGCAATTTTTAAAGCGTGGTTATAACAAAGGTATGTGAAAAAACTCCTCCAAAACAGGGCACTCGGTCGCCCCTGTTGATTTTGAAATAAAACTTGCTCAAAAAAACACAATTTTTGGTTTTGTTATCTACTAGGTCAGGTCAATTCAGACTGGCTGGAAGCTGGCATAACTTCTTCCCTTTCAAGCTAAAACATTTAAACATCTTACGGACCACAATTAATATGAAAACATCTTTGGTGTTTTTTTTACCACTCTCTCACGTCTAGGAAGAGATGAGTTCGTTTTTAAAGATATATTCAGTACAGATTGAATACAAAATAAAATGAATTTTTCAAAAAGTTTTATTTTTTCAAATATGCGGAAATTATGTGGATTTTCACAACCTTTTTTCGTTTTTCATATAACAGACTGGGGCTTAAACATTTTAATTAAATCATTAAACACCAATCCAAAACAAAATTAGACAAACATAACCTCAAAGTACTACAAGTACAACTGTTTTATTTTTTTAAATTGTATATAAAATTTTTTGATAATTTCGGAACGGATCATCGCCGTTTCCTTTTCTTTATCTATCAAGGTCGAGTTGCGAGATAAAGCGTTTGCGTAAAACCATCGCAGTCGTCTGGCCGGATCCATCACACAAATAACACACCAGCTTTCTCGAAAAAAAAATGTTAACTGGCGGGGTGTTCGTTTGACAACCACTGTTTTCGCGAAAATCGCGGGGGGGGGCGCCAATCGGAGAAAAAGGGGTGGCGACCTCCGCGACGTAGGCGTCCAAGAAACGGAACGTCACGTGCCGGGAACGTGTCACGTCACGTGGCCGCGAACGGTTTACTTTAAACGCCGTTGTTATGGTAACGAAATTGGATTCTTTGTCGGTAAATTCATAAATTAAGGAGGGCACTGAACAGGTAGGTATATTTTTTAAAACAAAATAAAAAAAAAGATGGATACCGTCCTAATAAAATTAATAAATGTCTAGGACCGGCGCATCCGCCCGAAGTGAGAGTCGGTTAACGACAGCCGTGGTACCTCGCGCAAAGACTAGTTTCTACGGACTGAATAATTAAAACTAAACCTTGGAACGAACGATAAGGCCGAAGGACTTTGGGAAAGGTCAAAACGAATATGAAGATCGCTGATGTAACGCCAGAGCGAGATAACGATTAACACGATAGCCCCAATTTAGTTCGCAATAACATTTACTGGTTTCGACGTAAATTTTTCCATTGAAATTAATAACGCGCATTCCCCACACTGTGTGAAAAACGTACCTTGTGCCATTGCGTTTGTAAAATATTTAAACAAAGAAAAAACGCAATAATTTTACTATTGGCAAATGTGTAAAGTGTATTGCCTATACCCCAGGCGCTGAGACCTTTCTTCCTCGAGTATCCATTGTTCGAAATCATTTTTCACCGCAAGTGTACCATGCCTTTTACCGTAGTGCAGGAACACTATCCTCATATGTAGAGCATGCAGACTGGAATAGTGTTATGGAGTGCTCGGATGTCGAAAGGGCTTTAGAAATTTTTTACGACATACTAAACAATATTTTTGCCGTTTTCACAATCACTAAACCACCTAGACGATCATGGTTCACCAAAGAAACCATAGTATATGTATCCAATACAGTGCGAATTTTACTATTCGTAATAAAAAAATTCAGGATACTAATAAATTGTTATTTAACAGTTGCCTTAAGTCCAAGCTTGTCTATAGCTCGGTGGTATGGTTACCAATATATATCTGCCACACTCAGTCTATTGAGTGTGCAGAAGAGATTACTGAAGTATAGGATTCCTATCCTGAGAGGGGAGTTGATCATGTTCTTCTGTTGGGAAGGTCTCTGAGCTTGCGTAGAGACTTGCAATCGGGTTTCAAGTTAAATCATTGCGAAGTCCATTGTCCGTTTCTTCTGGAACAATGACGTTTTCATTCAAGTCAATTTTCTTACAACAGTTATTGAGGTCCAATATAAATTTTCGAAACATTCAAATATCATCGCACTGTGATTTATGTTATGATGGTCTCCAAGCGATACTTGGGTAACTCCTTCTTGCGGGGCAGCAAGACTACGTTCCCCTCCAGGACGATCGGGCAATGTTCGCTGCATCCAAGAGTGCCGACTTCTGGATCATATGGTAAGACCCAGTTTAATTAAGTTTGTTTTCAGGTTCGTCGGTACAACACCCATGCTGGATATAATCAATGGGTCTGCCTCCACTCTCTCCATGTGCCACACTTCTTTAACTTCCCATTTCAGCCTTCTTAGAGTCGATGTTGTGCGTGGTGTTGATGGATATATCAACTAAATATGCGGTATTTGTTAAGTCTGGTTGATTATGCCCGATTTCCTTGTATGTGATTATGGCTTTGTCCCAGCAGATCTTCGCTTTGTTACTCTCGATGACTGGTGGTGTTTGGAGGCAGAAATATGGCTTTTTATCTTCAAGGTTTATGTCCTAACTTTGTTGTGCCGCCAGCCTCTCTATATATTTTGTGTTGGCTAGTTTGGGGCATACCGAAAGCATGCAATGTTTTCTTTCATGATGTACTTTCGATAGTTCTGGGTGCCAACAACCTGGTCTCTTGCATAGCTACAACAAACCCTTTTGTTTCTGGAATTAAATAGCCTTTACTCAGCCATTGAAGGGGAGCGTCTCGGTCGACGTTGTTTAGGTTTCGTTTGAATTTTTTCCAGAGTCGTATCTGGTTTTCCTAACTTAATTAATGACTTTGGTAATGTTAATCGAATTTAGCTCTGTTCTAAGGAGAGCATTTAACCTTTGCTTGAATTTATCGATGAGAATATTTTTGATTTCAGCGTGTTCTATCTTGTTTGATTGTAGCATTCCTAGGTATTTGTAGGGCTGGTTATCCATCGCATTTATAGTGACGTGCTCGTTCAGGGGGAGAGCGGCGTCCGATGTGAGTTTTCCTCTGACCACTGTTACCGCCTGGCATTTGCATTGCTGGCTTTGTGCACTAATTTTAGCAGGTTTTCTAAGTGATTTTAGAGGAGATGATTCAGCATACGTGTTCCATCGTTAGTTAGAGATGGAATGGATGGAAGATACACTTTTTTATGTTTATGGTTGGCGTTTGTCTTCGGGTATTACCACAGTCAAAGGTAAGTGTGGTATTATTATTATTATCATCATCATTATTATTATTAATAAATATCAACAGCGTAGGCGAACGCGTAAACCCCAAACAGCAAAATGGCGAGCGCTGTCGGCTAGCGATTTTGAAAAAATCACCGGGGCCTTTTTTATCTTCGTTTCGAAGTGTAACGTTGTGATTGTTGGAACGCGGACTGGTTCTTAAAATAAGAACACATCAATCAAGTGCCAGCAGTATCCGAAATACGGATAATTAGTTGTCGGTCAACCCGCTTGCAGCGGGCCACTAGATTAATACGTATCACTTGCCGCCGAGTCACGTGAGTTTGTTTCATCTGTCAAAGTTATAAACAATTAAAGATGGTAAAAAGCAGTGTTTATTTTTTTGCTGATAGTTTGAAAAGAGATGCTTAAAGAGGAAGAAATTTACTAAAAAAAAGTTCCGATTCTCGAAACTGCTATATTTACGTATATTTTCAAACTATAATAAAAATTGCAATAATTTTTTTTTCGGTATTTTGATGCAAATATTCGTTACGTGCCATCTCAGGCAAGACCTGCTTGATGCAGAATCATCTGTAAAATGCTTAAAACGTCAAAGCAATAAATGCACTATATTTTTGGTCGTACAATACCTGATTTAGCTTACTTATCTGTGATAATTAAAATAATAAATAATACCGTAAGCAGGACGAATCGGGAAGTTTCGTAAATCGTATTTCCGTAGCCTGCGGAAGTTTCTTTGAAAAAAAAAACGAATAAATATAATACAACGTTGCCAGCTTTCTCTGCGAGGACGGTAGCAGATAGGCATACAAAAATATTAACCGATAACGCTGTTAATATGATTTATTGCCCCGAACGTCCGGGTTTCGAGGTGTAACTCGGCCAGGTTCGTGTTAAATCGTTATATTCGGACACCCTGTATACGTATCACGCGTCCGCGCCGTCCGAGAACGCGAATTAAAGCCGGTAATTTATCTTTGCGGAAAATTATCGTTTAACAACGACTGGAAATCTCCACACGGCGCGTCAATACAAATAACGCTTTTGTTTGTTTTACGTTCGAAAGTCTAAAGCACGGGAGTAGAGATGGGCACTATCGTATATTTACTACTCGGTCGAACTTACATCTTCTGATTGTCATCACTTGATTCTTGTAATTTAAAATCATGATTTTTTTGAAAATATTTTGTTATTGAGACCAATACAAAAAGCACAACGTAAAAATATTATCACAAATACAAAGTAAAACACAACTCTTTACAAAAAATATGACAAATAACTTAATCATATACACTTTATCTTTCTGCATGATATGGCGTGAGTCCCTGCTTACATCGACCCTGAATTTTTCGTGTTTTTGATAAAGGTAATTCTCCAACATTCTCGAAGATATATTGTAAATACTTCCACTATTCCAAGGCGTTTTTTCTCTGCAAAAATATCAAGGGCACCTGATATTGGTTTTCGAATATAAATATTCTTGTGCTGCATGTTTAAGTCCATTATATGTTACACCTCTTCTATGAAATCAATATACGTAGTCCCCCTTCTAGTCGCTAGGTGGCACCACAGCTTTAAAGCAGAGCCAAAAAACTGTGGAATAACTTACCATGGACGGTATATTCGCCATCTATGGTCTTAACCTCATTCCTCTTTTTGTGCTTTGGTGGCACATGTTCATTTTTATTCGGCGTCGGTGTTTTCAGCTTTTTTCAGCGTTTTTGGAAGTTAAATGGAGAAGTACAAGTGAGATTTACGTTATTCCTTATCGGATGAAGAAAGAACCTACCTACGACGAAAGATTAAATCTTTCCATCCGCGATTACATAATCGCTAGTGGCGTGGTTCCCATCAACGAGATTTTCTTACAATTGGGAGACGATTTCTTCATCGTCCGGGTTCCGATCGGAATCCCCAGAACTCGAAAGACCCCCCATCTTTCCCACTTATACGACAGCAGTCGTATGTAAGTGTTTCACAATTGGAAGCAATCCTTTTGTGAGGGGGTCGGCCATACATATGGTTTTATATTTTTTCGACATCGAAAAAATAGAGTTTTCTGGCTCGTCCGGCTATGGATGAGGCGCCCGGGATACTGGGACATAATGAACAATTTTTTATGGCTGTTGGAATGCATTTACTCCATCGTAAGTATATTTTTTAGGCCCTTCAATTAATTCTGATGTCATTGTTGAGCCCCTTGAGACGGATTTAAAGCAAAATGGCCTTTAAGCTATGGGGTCGATAGTCCCAACACAAAGTTTGATGTGTCATGACATTTTGGCAAGTCAGATTAATACCTTTTTGAAATCCGGTGTGTCCGAAGATTGTCTCAGTGACCTTTTGCGTTGATATCCTGTGCCGAAGAATTGCCGCTCAATAACTCTCCTAAATTGAATGTGCAGATGAAATCTGCCATCAACAAAGGTGGAAAGAAAAGGGATGAGAGACTGACTGCAACAAGGGGTGCTTTGATGGTGGTTGGTAGGACGCTCTTGACCTTGCTTTTGAAACCGGTTAAGGATGAGTAGTACTTACTTCTCATCGAAATGTTGAGTAATGCAATATTTGTTTTAAGCAAAATACACCATTTAGGTTCAGTATATAGAAGTTCAGCCGCGTTAAGCCTTTCGCTGGTCTCAAATGAAATGCAGCCTTATATGAAGGAAGTGCTCGTTGATGCTTCTTTGCACTCTTGTTTATATGGAGAAGATTTGGCTGATAGGCTCAAATCAATCAGATTAGCTGCAGATTAGTGGCCGAGTTAAAGTCAGGTGCATCCGGAACAAGGCTTTTATAGCATACAAATTTAAACTCGACCGTCCCACTTCGTTCCCGGAAGTTGCAAGGCTGAAGTGGGTGAAAGTCATTGTACCCTCAAAAGAGGGAATACAGGAAGGTTCGAGAGGAAAGGGGGTGGAGTTGTGTCCCCAGGAAAAAATAGTAAGTACTTTTGTTGAAAGATTGCACGAGTTTCGGGACATTTGGAACTCTAGAACTCAAGATGCACAGATTCTACCTTGGTTAGATGGATATAAAATTCCATCTGCGAGGCCAGTTATACAGGACTTGATTACGACAGATCCTGTTTGGTCCCAACAAGAAAAAGATTCAATTTGTAATGTGGTCAAACACCTGTTAGAGATAAGTGCAATTGCAGTTTGCGAACCTTCTAAGAATCAATTTATTTTACAGATCTTTTTGGTTTCAAAATCGGATGGTTCGGTTTGATTAGTTTTAAATTTAAAGAAACTGAATGCTTTTATTGACACTTGTCATTTTAAACTGGAAGACAGAAAATTAGTAGAAACACTCTTCACAAGGAAGTCCTTTATGACCACTCTGGACTTGAAAGAAGCTTACTTTCTAGTCCCAATAATTGAAAATCAAAAGAATTTTCTAAGATTTTATTTTGATGCTCTCTGTTATCAGTTTAACGTGTTACCCTTTGGTTTATGCACCGCCCCGTGGGCCTTTACAGAATTAATGAAATCTGTGGTTTCTTATCTCCCTGCCAAGGCTTTTCCCTCAATAGTTAATTTAGATAACTTTACTATTTGGTGATAGTTAGCTATCCTTAAAAAATGTTCAAGTAACTTGCAACACACTGATTAGGTTGGGTTATGTTATTAATTATAAGAATGTTTTACATCCTTCGAAATCCCGTAAATTTTTAGGTTTTGTTTTTTTGAATCCCACCACTTGTTTTTTCTGATGAGTAAGTAAGTTTTGCAATTTGAACCGTTGCGAAATAAGAGTCTTTGCCGAGCTTTGTGCTGTGCTAGTTTTTCAGTTTGCCCAGCAGTTTGTTACAGTTGGGTATATACTAAGAATTTTTGAGAGAATCAAATATCTAGCCCTTCAAGACTCTGTCGATAATTATGATATTTGGATGATAATTCCTTGTAATTTACGGAGGGATTTTATGTGATGGCTAAAAAGTTTACAGAATCCTGAATGCCCTGTAAGGCAGCAATGTTACAAACTTGAGATTTTCTCAGATGGTACTCCTTTGGGTTGGGGAATTGTGCCAGAGAACTTTGGAGTCCTAGGGAAGCTCAGTTTCATATTAATGCACTAGAATTAACTGCGGCCTCATTTGGTCTCTAATGCTTCGCCTCGTATTTGACTAACTGCGAGACACTTTTGAGGATTGATAACACAACTGCTATTTTGTATGTAAATAGAATAGGGTGAGTAAAATTTCCTGTTTTAAACGAAATTTCGAGGCGCCTTGGGGTTGGTGTGAAGAAAGGAGGTTATGGGTTAAAGCATCTTTCATTCGATCTTCCGATAATTTTGAAGCGCATAAGGAACCCACGAATTTGAATTTTGATGGTGAATGGTACCTTTCGGACAATGCTTTTGCTAAAATAACAAGCAAATTTGGATTCCCAAAATCGAACTGTTTGCTTCTCGCCTAAGTAAGAAATGCGGAAAGTTTATTTCCTAATTTCCAGATCCGGAGGCATCTAATGAAGACTCGTTTACTGTTTTTTGGAGCGACAGTTTCTTCTATGTTTTCCCCCCGTTTTGCTTGTTGCCACTTGTTTTACGAAAAATCAAGGCTGATTGAGCTACAGGGATCGCAGTAATCCCTTACGGGCACAGCCAGCATTGGTTTGCTTTTTTTTTCATGGGAGGCGTTGTAGTTATTTATTGTTTCTAATTCCAGACAAATTACCTTCTTCTTTTGACAGGAGAGGTCACCCTTTGTGGAAATCCCTTACCCTGGCTGCAGGGATTTTGTCAGGCAAGCATTCCAGAAGATTTGCTGGATATTTTTCTATCATCTGTTCAGAGCGCTACCTTGAGGCATTTAATACCTGCATGCATTTAAACTTTGGTGGAGCTTTTGCGAAAGGAGGGGAGTGGAGTGTTATTACTTCTCACCTAGGCTGTATTGGATTTCCTTACTATTCATTTTAGACAAGGCAAGTCCTATGGCTCATTGAGTTCTTTCAGTGCAGCCCCGCCTTATTTTTGGATCAGGTTTATTTAACAATGCAAATCTAACTAGGTTTTTTAAGGTGTTTATAATCTAAGGCCAAGTAAACCAAGATATAACAGCACTTGGGGCCCTAGTTATGTCCCTGACTTTGTAAAAGGGTTACGTTCTAATGACTTGTCATTAAAGCAATTAACTGTCATTAAAACAATTAAATTAGTTTCTCCTACTGAAGTTAACGATTGTACATAGAGTCCAAACGCTCTCTCTTATAGAATTGGTCAACATAAAATCATTTCCAGATGGATTAGAAATTAGAATAACGAATCAAATTAAGATTTCAGCTATAAATAAGACTCGACCTGTTTTTTAATTTTGCATAAATATGAAGATGTAAATCTTTGTGTGTTTTCAAATATATTATTGAGAGGGCCAGTGCTTTAAGAGGCAGTGAATCTCGTTTACTCATTACATTTAAAAAGCCTTGTAGGGCAGCAACTATACCCAACAAAAGTAGATGAATAAAGATAACTTTAGAAGATAGTGGTGTCTACACTTTTATTTTTACTGTTCACAGAACTCGACATGCCTCAACATCGTCTGCGTTTTGTAAAGGTGTTTCAATTGATATGATTGGAAAAACGGCAGATTGGTGAGAATGCTCTAAATGTTTTCCCCTTTTTTATAATAGACCTATTTGTACAGCAAGTGCAGGCCTTTTTGTTAATGCCACATTTGGGACATAGAATTTTTCAGAAGGTTTGTTTTCTCGGATAGCCATTTATTTTGTATTTGTACTCGAGGCTTTCATAAACTTTCTGGATTTCCTTATATAGCCGAATAAAATCGTTTTATAACAAATTTGCTGAGTTGCCTTTGAAAGTCTACGTATATTGATTTCATAGAAGAGGTGTAACATATAATTCAATGATCAAACGAACTTACCTGGTAAGTGAAGTTCGATCGTAATTATATGTTACACCTCTTCGTAGAAATCACCCATTCCCGCCCAATTTACTGTTCTGAACAGTACTAAAATGCCCTTTGGCAAATTTATTATAAACGGGCTTTAAAATAGAATGAGGTTAAGACCATAGATGGCGAATATACCGTCCATGGTAAGTTATTCCACAGTTTTTTGGCTCTGCTTTAAAGCTGTGGTGCCACCTAGCGACTAGAAGGGGGACTACGTATATTGATTTCTACGAAGAGGTGTAACATATAATTACGATCGAACTTCACTTACCAGGTAAGTTCGTTTGATCATTGAAATATTAGACACCTTTGGGAACACTGCTGTTGAGAGGTAAGTGTAAGATGAAAATGTAATTTAGTTGTTCATAATTAGCTATAAGATTTTTGAAAAAATAGAAGATTCTTGAGATATACCAAGTTTTAGTTTTTCATCTCTTAAAATTATTTTAAAGGAACTTACCATGATACGATGCGATGCTATTTTGTTTGTTTTGTCATTAGTGTCTTATATTATCAATAGGCGAGCCTTATAAAATGTTGAATTCTAACCTTCAACACTTAGACAATATAATCAGAGTCAATGAAATCATAAATTTACTCATAATCTAATATTTTTTTAGAATTGACCAAAAGTCTCTCGAATCAATTTGGTTTTCGTTTTATTCACAGATTTTTGATAATATATGCTACTGACGGACGTACATCTTTAAACAAACAGCAACGCTATTCCGTCGCACATCACTTGGAAGGACTAAAGCGTCGTCTCCTGCTTGACGTGGCGTATTTGTAAGTGTTTGAACAGTAAATTCAAAATGTGTGCTGAGCAGCCACGAGGTCTAACTTTTGAGTCCTTTGCAAAGTTTTTCTAATGAGGGCTGCGTTATCTGTCACATAAGATTTTACCTCGATTACAGGTATATAAAAAGTATATTTATTAATATTAAGAAAAGAGTTTAAAAAAATAAGTATTATTACATATTAATATATATGCTATGTAAAATAATAATAATACGTATAAATAATAATCATTATTGACTAATTTCTGCTAGTACATATCTATTTCGTATATATCAAATAGAACTTTAGCATATCAACTAATAAGAATTAAAAAAATAAATTCTTTTGGCATTTCTTTGTTTTTTTTTTGTTTCCATTAATTAATTTAAATTACATTTTTTGTTTTTATTCGCTTAAATATCAATCACACAGTTTTTAAAAAATGTCTCCGCTTTCCTTTCTTATCGCTGCAATAATATTTTCAGTTTATTTCTAATTGCGTTTTTTATAACACCGCACTTGTCAAAGTTAAATTCATTGATTTAACTCATGTTAATTGATTAAGTAATAAAATAAATTTATAGGGGACCAACTTTAACTAAATTTACCCAAATTTTGGTGAAGCTTCTGGCCCTATTTATGTTGTTACATACAACAATAATAATTACTTACTAAAAAGTATTTAATAAAAAAAACGTTATTGTTTAGTAACGATTTTTATATCGATTAAAATATTTGTCATTGGTATTTATAAGATTTTCGAAAGCTCTGGCTTTAGGATAAATCCATAGAATTATCAAAAAAATAACACTTTTCACTGGTTTTAAGCAAAGGGCTAAAAATGTACAAATAACTAGAATTTATAATTAGAAGACGAAAAAACGAAAAAAAAATTTTTTTGGTGAGGTGGGCTACTATGGAAAAAATGATTTTATCAGGTATTCAAATTGACACACCAATCGATTAGTTCGAATGATTGCAAACCACCGAATTATTCGCTGGTGCCCATCACTACACGGGAGTTTACCGTTTCAATTCGACAGGCTGCGTAAAAATACGCTTAGTTAGGCGTTTCGATCGTAGGTCGGATAACGCGTTTTTAATATTTCCTCGCTCACGAGATTGCTGATAAACGCGACATGTCGCGTAATATCTTATCAAAACGAGAATTCCTTGTTCGTAGAGAACGGTTGTAATTTGTAGTAAAAGTAGGTTCCCTTATCTGTCGCGGTATAACTAAAACAACTTCAAATTGACAAAAAAGCATTTTAACAACGGTGAGCGTGGTTTTGATTCTTGATCGTACCTCTAGTAAAATATCTAGCTACTACTTAAAACCCTTTACAGGGAAAACTGACAGTCTCGTATTTAATTCCGTTCATTTGTTCTTCTTGCAAGGTCCAAATTTATAAGGCTATCAACTCTCTCTCAACTCAACACAACACGGAAAAGTTCAAAACTAAACAATCTTACCTGGGAATCTTATGTTCGGCAACTAATAAATTTTCCCACCCGCATGGGCTTTTTTAGTCATTTATCCTTTTTTGAATACCTGGTCGTGATATATTACATACACTATATTAGTAACTAAACAAAACTAATTTATAATATATGTTTCAACAGGTTTACACCCAACTAACGAAATCATATATTATTCAACAAGTGCGGTAAACGGCTTTTGATTCGCGAGTTTGACACGAGCCATTGAATATAAGTGTAGGGTTGGTAGCCAGTGACGTATAAAACAAAACACCGTCAACATTTTTTTTAAATGTATTTATAGATGTGTTTAATAGAATATCTTATTCCGATTAAAATGATGTAACACACTTTATATTTTAGTCCACTCATTTTTGACAAGTCGGCAAAAATAGGAAATTTTTATATAATTGCAAAGGGGGCCGTGACTGACAAATAAAAATATGTTTGACATATTAGTAAACACTGTAGACGGTTGGTTTATTATTATTATTATTAAAATGGTTTTATTATTATATGGTATTATATGCTAAAAAGGTATGCCGGCATCATAATGTTTTAAATGAAGAAATTGAGGCAAAACTAAGTCATATGAGGATGAAGTTTGGTTTGGATTTTTTAAATAGACATAATTAAAATAACAATTTTTTGAAAAACATTTTATGGACTGATGAAAGTTCGTGCACTACAACAAAGGGTTGTAATGCTGTTGTTGTTGTTGTAATCCTAGACAAATACACGAAGTAAAAATCACCATGGATGGGCATATTTTCGGTCCGATATTTATAGATCAAAAGTTAACTGAGGATCATTATTTGCAACTCTTAAAGCACCAACTACAACAATATATAGAAGATTTACCCCCAAATATATCAGCGATGATTATATGGCAGCATGGAATATCCCAGGGGTTGAATAGGGAACGAGGGAACTATGGATTGGCCAGGCAACAGTTAATAATGGATTTTATCTTTTGGGGACACATAAAAAAGCACGTGCACAGATGTGCTTATAATAATTTCGTGGAACTTCGGCAAAGGATTTCAGAGCCAATCAATCAGTTTGTAAAATAAAAACATGATACAATTAGAGTGTATGAGAAATACGTTTAGGAAAATGGTCGTCACATACAGCAGAATTTAGAATAGTTAATTACTAAAATTTGTAAATTAATCATTGTTGATGCAGCCAGTGACGGTATTTGAAAATATATAAAAAATTCCTATTTTTGCCGATATGTCAAAAACGAGTGGACTAAAATATAAAAATATAATCATTGTAATAGAAATAAGATATCCTATTAAACACATATATAATATACAGGGTGTTCCAATTAAAAAAATATAATATAGGTTTATATGCCAAAAAATTGATGGTGTTTTGGAAAAAAACTTGGTTACAAACCCTACATTAAAATGTTATCAAGATAAATTGAATGCACGGTACATGCATATGCGGCAAAGAATCCATTACTCTCTACACCTCGAAAGACGAACATTTCGCGTTCCCATTTAATTGCGCCCGAAGGATTAATCAAAATAAATTTTATCGGTTCGAACATACTATATAATTCATTGAAACGAATGTGTATGGAGTAATGCCGCTGATAGCGGGCACGAAAACGCATTAAAAATACGACTGTTGGCCGGGCATCAAGAATTTCACGTGACTGCCGACACAGTTTGCCTCC